CTTCAAATTTATCCTGTCTTTGCTACGTTCGATACAGGGAACGCAAAAAGCAGGTTCGTAACAGTGGTTGTGAACCGGGTGCACGTACGCCTCCAAGTTGACACTGCCTCAGACACGACGCTCATTTCCGAGACAGCTTGGAAGAAAATCGGGGAGCCACCTAGTCAAAGAACAACTCGGATTGCAACCAACACTTCAAGAGAACCACTGAACTTGGTCGGTGAAATCTAAAATCCTGTAATGTTCAAAGATTATCAGTTCATAAGGGTATGCTATATAACGAGGCATCCCGATCTGAACTTACTCGGTCTCGATTGGATTGAGAATATGAAACTGCTTGATGTTCACTTGAATTCCGTGTGCAACGAAGTAAGCGACCCATCTGCAGTGTGAACGGATTCTTTACAGCGGAAATGTTCGCGGGTGTTTCAACATGGTCTCGAATTGTGCACGAAAACCAAGGCCAATCTCTCCCTGCGGCCAGAAGCAAAGCCAGTCCTCCGCCCGAAAAGACCAGTTCCGGATGCTGTGGTTTTAATCTTCGACCAAGAACTTGACAGACTACAGTCAACCGGAGTTAACCAGCCGACGAATTTCTCTTCATGAGCAGCCCCCATTGTGATTGTTGAGAAACTAAACGGAAAGATACGCTTATGTGCAGATTACTCTACTGGCCTGAATGCCGCCTTAGAAGACCACAAATACCCTCTATCCCTCCCTGAGGCCCCTTTTGCACGTCTGAACGGTGGCAAGTGTTTTGTCAAACTGCACTTGCCAGACGCATATTTCCAGATTGAAATGTCAGAAGAAGCGCGTGAGTTGCTAACGATTAACACTCACAGAGCACTATTCCAGTAAACGCGCCTACCATTTGGCGTTAAGTCGGCCCCGACAATCTTTCAGCAGATCATGGATACGATGCTATAGGGAATATCTTATGCCGCTGCATACCTGGACGTTATCATTATCATGGGATTTAACCAGGAAGAACTAGACCAGCGAACGGAACTCGTGCTTGACAGAATAATGGAGGATGGTTTTCGCCTACGAATGGACAAGTGTGAGTTTTGCATGACCTCCATTAAATATCTGGGTTTTACCATTGACGAAAATGTACGAAGACCTGATCCATCAAATGTCAAAGGAAATGCCTCCGCCGAAAGACATAGTGACGTTGAGATCGTTCCTGGGTATAGTGAGTTATTACGGTACCAGTCTGCCGTCCATATACGACCTACGCGGACCATTAAGCCGGTTGCTGATGAAGGACGTCCCGTGGGTCTGGACTGTCGAATGTCAGGAAGCCTTCGACAACAGCAACTTGTCACTAAGCCCAAAACTGATGCTAACGCACTATGACCCATAACTGCCAATGGAAGTGGCATCGGATGCATCTAGCTGTGGAGTTGAGGCAGCCATCTCCCACATTTTCACAGATGGGTCTGAGAGGCCAGTCGCTCATGCCGCTCCTTCGCTGACAGCAGTAGAAAGAAAGCGTAGTCAAAATGAAAAAGAGGCTCTCGCTATTGTGTTTGCAGTGAAACATTTCTACAAAATGTTATATCGCCATCAATTTACCTTACCAACGAACCACAAACTGCTTCTCGCTATATTCGGCTCGAAGAAAGGAATTCCTGTACATACAGCCAATGGTCTGCAGAGATGGGCGACAACTTTGCTGGGGTACGATTTCAACATCAAGTACCGATCGACGAGCGACGTTTGTCAGGCCGATGCGCTGTCACGGTTGTTAGACGAACAGCACCAACCAGAAGACACTGTCGTTGCAAAGCTCGTAATCGAAACGGAAGTTAACCGTGTACTCTGGGATACTGTGAACCAGCTTCCAATATCTCTCAGTCCGATTCGAGACGCCACCTTACGGGACCCGCTGCTGTCACAGTTGAGCAGGTTTCACCACTCACAGTGGCCTCGAAAATTTTCTGACGCACAGCTACGACAATTGTTTTAGAGACGAAATGCACTGTCGGTCGTCGAAGACGGTATCTTGTTTGGTGAACATGTCGTCATACCAGCCGAACGTCAATTTAAAGTCTTACATCAATTTCATACTGGACACCCCGGTTCCAACAGGATGAAAGCTCTAGCGAGGAGTTATGTGTACCGGCCGTGTATGTATTCTCAAATTGAGGAGTTAACACGTTCCTGTTCAAATTGTACCCTAGCAGCAAAATCGGCACGGAAATGAGAACTATTCTCCTGGCCAAAGCCCACGAAACCGTGGTCAAGAATTCAGCTTGATTTCGCAGGACCAATCAAAGGAGAAAACTACTTACTCATCATCGATGCATACAGCAAATGGCCCGAGATCTTCCAAATGTCGAACACATCAACGTCGGCTTCGAGTACAGTCCTCAGTGAAGTATTCAGTTCGGTTCGGTTTTCCAGAAACAGTAGCATCCGACAACGGACACCCAGTTTACCGCTTCACCTTTTGCTGAATTCTGTGCGGTACACGGCATGCAACATTTGCGCCCACCTCCTAATCATCTACAGTTAAATGGGCAAGCTGAACGACTTGTGGTTACTTTCAAGAGGGCTCTACTCAAAGCGGAAGGAGTCGGACGAATCCAAGAGGTCCTACAAACCTTTCTGTTAACGTATAGGATTACGTCTAATCCACAGACGCCTGAAGGTAACTCACCAGCAGAATCACTCCTGCTCAGAAGGCTTCGAACGAATTTTGATCTAATAAGGCCGCCGGATAGACACAATCCCGAAGAAAAGTGGATAATGGAGCATTAGTACAAGAGAAAGCATCACGCCATACCACGACACTTCAAATGTTGGACAGAAATTGTTAGTAAATAACTATCGGAACAAGTAAATCTCTTGGACACCTGGAATGGTTGTAGAATGATATGGACATGCCTGTTATGAAGTGGCCGTAGGCGATGTCAGATGGATTGGTCACATCAACCAACTCAGGAGCTACATCGCATTTGACAGAAGAGAAGATGCCCTAACTACGCAACTTGCATTACTTCTGGACGAGTTCAAACCACCAAAAACAGAGGGTAGTCAACGAGATAAGCCTATAAATCCAGCAACTTCTCCTTCACCCGATTGTTGACCCAGAAGCTGGCCCGATCGTTGCCGAGTTCCTGTCACGCCGCTCCAGGTTAACCCCAGGCTGAAATCATATGACAGTGGACTTCAAACGGGGAGATGTTAAGAGGGGCACCTTCTAACGAATGGACCAGGGAACCCAACTGATGTGCATGGCAGGACGCTAAACGCGCGTCCGTCTGCCGTAATTATTGATTGATGATTTTATTCTGTGTTTATGTGACCTCGAGTGCCTCGCAAGTCCGGTTGCTGTATTTTTGAGACTTACTGTTACGCAAAAGACGCATCTTATTACGAAGCTCTCTTTTTCTGTTTTCTCTGGCTTAACATAATCCTTCATTACGATGCAAGTTAAGAGTGTTGCTGGGGACAAGATTTGCCCCAAACGACACGGCTTCCACTAACAGCGGCTATGTACAATATAGTATTTCGAAACTGTTACGGAAGTTGGCTTTAAGTCATGACCCTCCGCCGCTATTCCGCATGACCTAGTGACAAAACTTGCTGACTAGTGGTGCATGCCTCCAACAATTATAGGTTCGAATCCTAATGGAGCTGGTGGGTGGGCACTACTGATGAGTCCCGCTAAGGTAGAACGACTGATGATATATGTGCGTTGATGTCATGTTGGACGTCCTGGACCCAGACGTATAGTTATCAATTGCATAAGTGGCAGCAACTACCGCACAGAATGTCAGGCAGGGATGAGAAAGACTTGAATGAGAGGCTTGTGTGTGTCTGTTAGAAAAATTGGAAATGTCTGGATGCATACCCGTAAAGCAAGATGGCTGTGCGCATAAGTTGTAGCCAAAAGCCGTCTGAAACTAGCTAGCTTGACGAGGTGATGAAGCGATGGAATAAGTCCCGTGCTTGACGATTCACCGGATAGGGGTGGTACATCCGAGTCAAAAGAGTGAAAATTAGTTAGCGTACGATAAGATGACGAAGAATGAATTCATGAGGGCGAATAGAGCCAAAAACTGTACAACCGTGTACGACGTGCGCGTATAAGTTGATGGGGAATCGTTAAGGTAGGGTAACTTATAGACGGTTCCTAAAAATATACTTAGGATTTACTGAGCAATAAAACAAAAAGAAAGGTTTTCTGCAAGCTAACTGTGCTATTAATATGACATTGGTTATCATAAAATTGGTTTGCGACTTTGAACATGTCCTAGCCTTTCTGCTAACTTTTAATGACGAGGTTGGTTTAGGCACCAAGTATCAAGTTTTCGTCGTCACTGGAATCAGTGAATTTCTGAATGTGCTTCTTTAGAAGATCTAGGTCCAAGCACACCAGTAAACCTCCTTAGAAAAGTCGAGAGGGATACACTTTGCATAACGGTCTCGATCATTTCTTATCCATGATGAATAACAATTGAGTTCGCATGCAGCTTCATATGGGTAAATCCCCGTCAACGATTCAGGACTTACAGAACTCTGAGAGTTGCTTGGTTGCAATACCAAGGTAGGTACTACTGCTGTTCAAGTACCAGCATACTTTATTACTGGGTGGAAACTGTAGGTGAACAGCACAACATTTTGGCAAGAACACGTTGTTGATGCTTACAGCTTCTGTAAAGATCATCAGTTGAGCCAGAACAGTGCCTTTATTCCCATAGGATGTTCGAGGCTATCGGTTATGAAGTGATGCGACGAAAAGTGATTAAGGACTATTTTAAGGTTGGTTATGGGCTAACTAGTTTGAATGGCCGCATTAAATTAGGATCTGTCAGACGTAGGGAGTACCTAAGAATGATGACATGATGGATAAAATGCATGCGAATGAAATCTTAAATGCTCCCTACATGGTCTAAACTATTATCTTGTCCGATTGCTATCGCAAACTAACATTTCCAACATTCTAAGATATTATTTGAAGACGGATCCATCACTGTGTCCCATTTCAGCATGAGAAATGCAACAAGCGCAACGAGAAAGCAGAGACCACACAAATTCTGGATACAGAGGGAAGCTGTGGGCTTCTAGTTCTTCGCATCGAATCTCCAGGGTTCCCACCGATCCTGCTTAATCTGTCAGGCGGAGGGTACGAGACGTTTCTTCCTGGAACTAACGGATCCGTATCAAGACTGTACTCTAGCGTACTTGGAGAGCACATTCTTTGGGTATGAAGGCATGGTCATGTGCTGCTGATACGCTTTGGCTGATGCATCATTTGTATTCGGTAGATGTGTTTAAAGATGACTAGCTAAGAGTTTGAGTTGCGCTCCAACCTTTAGGTTTTATTACTGATATTTCGCTATCACGCTTGCCATGATCATCTGTACAACTTCCGTGTAATGACAATCGCAATGTCGAAAACAGAAATTTAGATGTGAATGCGACCCCAACTCCGACGGCCCGAGGACGCAATCTGCCTTCTGCACTTTGAGCATTCATGGGCTCGAACAATAATGGATTCAAAAAGGCTGCGCTATTGCCGAGCCTAAGTAGGATTAACCGGACATTCAATACATTTCGAGATGTTGGCCTACTGTATGATATAGTTTAGCTTTGCTGAAATTAAATGAGAAGATTCACAAGGAACATCATCATGACCATGGTTCAAATTGCTGCCAAATTGTCCAAAGTGAATGACATGACGAATTAGCCACAAGATACCCGATCGTTGCTTCTTTATTCATTCCTTTTCCTTCTTAATGTGTGAACTACTAAAAAAACTAACCGAAGGTGCATTGTTATTTAATACTACCAAATACTACCCTCTTTTACATGCTGCATGAAGATTCTTCGTTCCCAAAAAGGATAGTTATGATAAGCTCTCAGTAAAATTCTTAGAACTGTAGCAATAAAGGTAACCAGCAAGCAACCCGCATGAGAGAATTTCCACACAGACTTACAACCACCGGAGAGTAGGATCGCACAGTGTTGTTACCTTGGTAACAACAGTTGAGGAGTTACATCGATCCCTAAGTATTTGCGCACGCAACCGTTTAGGCGAGTCAATCTACTGGTATGAACCTGGCCCAATACTTTTAAGGAAATAATTTCCTTCCAAAGGCCTCAATCATGTATTTACAAGCAGCAATGAATGCCCATAAGAGTCAAGGTAATGCAGTTGATTGCGCTGAATTGCGTGCTTCTTTCGCTCAGGTTGTTTGCCCATACGTTGTGGCACGCGATTTTAGCCATTTATGCTGACATTCGCGTTTATTACCAGTGATTCCACTAACTCACCGCTGTAGGTATATTCAGCAGAGAGAGATGGTCAAATTGCTGCTCTTAGCTAAGGAGGAAAGGCTTGTTCGATGTAGTATTTTGTACTTAGCAAAGTGTAAAATTATTACAAGAATGGAGCCAGTGGAATGTTTATTTTCTGCGCTATAACAAACAACGATGACTGCTCTCTCGAATTGAAATTTGAGCGCTGGCACCTAATGAAGTGTTTCAACTGCCTTTGAAAATTTAACTGCACTGCACTTAAAGAACAAGGACCTGGCCAGTGCTGTAGTGAAAGATCTGTTCCCGAGCAAAATCCGATAGATCCATGGGTCTTACTTTGCGCCGACAAGCTAACTCCATCGGTGTATCCAAGCAGCATATATGTCGGACATAGAACAGAGGGACACATGCCGAAAAGTTACATTTTTCTCCCCAAAAAGCGGTTACAGGTAGGCATAACTGCTTGTCGTAGTGCTTTTGCATGATCACTGATTCTGTCCTTAAAATATGGGACAGTGCTTAAGCTCAATGTGGTACAAGTCCTTTTCGGAGCATTCTCCGGTAGGATGTATGCAGTACACTGCGGAAATCGTCATCTTTAATATTGCAGTTTAATTAAAACCTCCCGCACCGCTTAGATAGTAAACATTGCCCCCTTCCTGCACGCGGAAGAAAGTAAAGGACACAATGTGACTACCAGTGTGGAAGGAAACTGTCCACTTTCCCGGAAAGATGCTTGTAACTCAAACCGATAGAGATTTAGGGCACACATAAGAGATGGTGCATGATGTTGCTCAGCTGCGCACGACTATTTGTGGAAACGGCGGCAAGGAACACAGGATTGAGGCTCGGTAGATTGGGTTGGCAATTTTGCTTCGTAAAATAGAGCACCCGTTTACCGGTTTTCTTTTAACTGGGAGTTACTTTTGTTAGAAGTGCTAAGTAAATTTCTAATGAGCAGCTGAGCAACGACACAAAATAATGCTACGACAACTTACCTCATCGATGCAGACCAACCTAGTACCTAGGATGAAAATGAAGTTTCACGAAAGGCTGACTTGTTTAATCCGAGGAATGGTACAGGACAGTTGGGTTAAATATATTTACTTGAAAAGCCTTTACTCGTACCAAGGCTGATTTCGGTAGGGTGGGTTTGAAATGGTCCAGCCGTAGGCTTTCAAGCTGGTCTGCATAATTAACCCAGCTGCTGAGCTGGCCAAGATGATATAGGTATCAGGTGTTACGGTGTAACAGATGGCTATGGGTCAAGGACTCATGACCAAACTTTGCGTACAACTCTACTGTATTATCGTGAAGGTTTACTATAAAAATATGTTTTGAGGCTACTTGGCACTGGTGCATGGGAATGTTTCCAGTTAAAAACATTAGAAGTTTAGCTTGCAGTTGCTGAATCTATTTTATGTGGGACTAACACGATTGGGCCTAGGTAACGGTATCATGTATTGACACTTTCCAAGTGGGAAAACTACTATTAGACCTAAAAACACTTTTCCAGAGGTGATAATCATGCATTTATGCTTTGCACAAAAGCAATAGGGGGTTCGATCGTCGTGTCTAAGACGCTTCCGCCTACAGGAAACCTTCCTGACATTCTGAGTAGAAACATTTCGGCTGCCGCCGGGAGTAGCTGTTCAGCACCTACATTCAGATCATTGATGCAAGTCGTAAGAGCCATCTTTGCCGTAAGCGACTAAAAGCTTAGGCGACTGGAACATCGCGCAGCACGTCAGGAAACGCAAGATACTCAAGCGGGAACTGTGCGCATACCACCAGAAACGAATCCAAAAAATCTGAATTGGTCAACGACCCCTGGAGTACATAGAAAGCCAAGGTCGGTGGGAACTGCGGTGCTACTAATTTGATAATAAAAGGTCAACCAAACGAAAAACTTCTACGGCATCCTTATAAGAGAGCTGAAACAATTAATTAGACGATCAGAGGGTCCGCAGCAAGACCAGCATATATATGGTTGGCAGAATCCGGTTCCGGATTTGCCTGTCATTGCAGCCTCCGTAGGACAGCCACAAGGCGCCAGCGTCTACGGAGGGACAATGGGTGGCTTGCTCAGCACCACCACAGCTTCATCTGCACACCTCATATACAATGTTAACCAGAAGGAATAAAAACGGTAAACATATGAATGGGATCTATGCTTCACCAACAGAGCCATCCCACACCCCTACAACACGCAGAGCAGTAGCATTCATACTTAATTGGAAAATCATGCGTACCAGATATAAACAGGGCGTTGGCTGGGCCGTAGCCCGCTCCACAATGGATGGAACCACTGCGCCTAGCACGGCCAGGAGAACTGGGCACCCTGTCCACCCAGCAACGATTCACACTCTTCTGGATCCAGTAAAGGAAGTAAAATTTGTTAGACAGGTAAGCACCTTCTCAAAATTTACACCAAACGGTTACACTGCGGATGTCAAACGGCAGTCAATCCCTTGAAATGATAATATTACATAAACTATATCCAAGAAAGCATACCGAAATGCCGACATAAATTTTCGTTAAATTAACCAATAGAATAAATGAGTTATCAGCAAACCAACAATGAATTCGAGATGTCAGCAAAGATAAAAAAATATAACAGGCACGAAAAATTTAACGATATTAATCACCTTTCGTTAAATGGCATTCGCAAGTCAACAACAGATTGTTCAGATAGACAATAAATTGTGGTAACAAAATAAGCCTTGAGAAAATACAGCAGACCAAGCACCTGAAAGAAAGAAACTCGGCATCTAAGCACGCGGTTGGTAAATCGAATGGAAGCGCATGCATCGTACCTTACAAGGTTGCGCCGGTTCTGATTACGTTCTCGGCAGGACCCATCTTCGTTGCGATACTGGTCCAGAATGGCCTCGCTTGTAGCCCACTAGATCTGACTAGACCTGCCGATGGAGTACACTTCAACAGCGCATGTCGTTTCCGCACCTGCCGCTTCTTCTCCGCATACACGAGGGCTTTCTCCTGCACCTTGGCAATCGCCTTCGTGATCAGATTGTGCCATGCACGCCGATCAACGGCCTTCGTTTCCCATGAACTGCTTTCAATATTAGAACTGCTACGCTCACCTTAGTCATGTCCTGGTAACGAAGCTACGGTTTCCCCACATGACGCTTCCCCACACTCGGCTGACTAGATAATACCTGCTTTGGTATCTGCGTCGAATGCATACGACGCACGTGACGGAACGATCGCAGGTGTCTCAGCAAACCTATGCAGTTCATCGTGTACATTCCACTGCGGCGCACACAGTGACTACAACGCAGAGACTGTTGCTGTAACCGCTCGAGATTTCTCACATCTCGCCGGTACATCGTCCATCTTTCGCTGCCGTATAGAAGAACGGACTGCAACATAGACTTGTAGACCATCCGCTCCGTGCCAACGGTAAGATGTTGGTTGTACCACACTCGGAACTCAAGTTACCCGAAAGCCGCCGCCGCTTTCGGTTCGCGGATATGAAGCGCACTGTAAAGTCGCCGGTCAGTCTAAACCACACTCAAGAGGTAGCAGAAGCTGGAGACGGTTTCCAATACATCGTCACCAATACTGCTTCGCGCCATCGTTGCAAATTGCACCTACGGTGAAGGTTGAAAGAGACAGACTGTTTTGCTTGTGTTGATGGTGAGCCCGAATTTGGCCCCTGTCGAAACCAGAGCACTAATCATGTGCTGCAACTCATCCGCGCTGTGTGCAAACAACACACAGTCGTCAGCAAGCAGCAACGTACGGATAGTCGTCTCACAGACTAAGGTTCTCGCACCGAAACGACGGAGGTTCAAGAACCCACCATCAATACGGTGCTCCACACAAACACCGTAAGCACAAGCGGCCTCAAAAGCACAAGACATCATGGCATTAAGATAGATGTTAAACTGGGCAGGAGCTATGACACAGCCTTGCTTCC